CGGGGGGGGGGGGGACTTGGTGGTGCCTACCGTCAAGAAGGGCAAGCCGGAGCTGAGGAAGAAGGGTGAGCGCGGAGCAGCGAGTCCCGCTGCCTTGGCAGGCAGCTCCTCCTGAGAGCTGCCTGCGCTGTAGCGTCCCTCCCTCGAGGGACGGAGGGGCCGGCCGCTCGTCCGAGGGGAGGATGATTCCTCCTTCATGCGCAGATGGTGGGCACCGAATCTCCGGAGCGTCGCCTCCACCCTTCTAAAAAGCACTCGCTGGGTCTGCGTGCGGTGGCTCAGCGAGTTGTCGTGGAAGGGCAGAGCAAAGGCATCGCTTTTGGGTGAAGTGGCAGCCTGTGCTGTTTATTTCAATCAGCGGTGAGACATTCTGCCTCGGAAGGGAAGGTTTGCTGTTGCTCTGGAGGGGAATTCTTGCTGAATATCGCTGCGAATTGAGGGTATAGTGAGAAATAAAGGCAGGGATGTGGAAAAACACTGAATTGTCCAAGCGTGGACGCGGCTGTAAGTGTTACGTGGTCAGTTCTAAGTCTGCTGTTGGCTGTAAACTAGAGCTTTTTTTTTTTTTTGGTGAAGTCCTGCAAATATGAGATGCAAAAACTAAAAAATAATCTGTGCAGTGAGTTGGGCGCCTCAGCGGAACGGTTCCTCGGGGGGGCTGGGGTCTGTGTGCTGAATGCGATGTTTGTGGTACTGAGCTGCTCCTTTCTCTTTGCAGTCCACCCAGCAGTGGTCATTCGGCAGCGGAAATCCTACAGGAGAAAAGATGGGGTGTTCCTCTATTTTGAAGACAACGCAGGAGTGATAGTAAATAATAAAGGCGAAATGAAAGGTACGGAGGAGAATCCTGTCGCGCTGGGTGGGAGGGGAGCGCCGAGAGCGCAGGTTGGCATTGTCGGGGGCTGCGCTCTCCTGGGCAAAACGACCCGGATTCTCCTTGCGCTCGGGAGAGCGCAGTCGGGCTGAGCTCATGTTCCTGTAACTTACTTGGTCCTCTAACGCGCTGTCATCTTGTTCTCTTTTTTTTTTTTTTTTTTTTTTCCTTTTTTCCCCCTCCAGGCTCCGCAATCACAGGCCCTGTGGCGAAGGAGTGCGCAGATCTGTGGCCCAGGATAGCCTCCAACGCAGGAAGCATCGCATAAACGCGTTCCTCTTCGTAGAGCTAAAATAAAAAAGTCCTTGTACCAAATAAGTGGTGTCTTTCTTGCCAAAGCGCCCTCCTCTGTGGAGCAGGACAAGGTTGTGAGTTCGTTCTGGGAAACCTTTTTACGGAACTCCTTGTGTGGAGGTGTCACTTCAGCAG